TTGTGTCACAGCAAATCTGTGTGTCATGCCAGTGAATTAGCACAATGAGTTGTGTCACAGCAAATCTGTGTGTCACGCCAGTGAATTAGCACAATGAGTTGTGTCACAGCAAATCTGTGTCACGCCAGTGAATTAGCACAATGAGTTGTGTCACAGCAAATCTGTGTCACGCCAGTGAATTAGCACAATGAGTTGTCACAGCAAATCTTTGTATCACACCAGTGAATTAGCACAATGAGTTGTCACAGCAAATCTGTGTGTCACGCCAGTGAATTAGCACAATGAGTTGTGTCACAGCAAATCTGTGTGTCACGCCAGTGAATTAGCACAATGAGTTGTGTCACAGCAAATCTGTGTGTCACGCCAGTGAATTAGCACAATGAGTTGTGTCACAGCAAATCTGTGTGTCACTCCAGTGAATTAGCACAATGAGTTGTCACAGCAAATCTGTGTGTCACTCCAGTGAATTAGCACAATGAGTTGTGTCACAGCAAATCTGTGTGTCACTCCAGTGAATTAGCACAATGAGTTGTGTCACAGCAAATCTGTGTCACGCCAGTGAATTAGCACAATGAGTTGTCACGCCAGTGAATTAGCACAATGAGTTGTCACAGCAAATCTTTGTATCACGCCAGTGAATTAGCACAATGAGTTGTCACAGCAAATCTTTGTGTCACACCAGTGAATTAGCACAATGAGTTGTCACAGCAAATCTTTGTATCACACCAGTGAATTAGCACAATGAGTTGTCACGCCAGTGAATTAGCACAATGAGTTGTCACAGCAAATCTTTGTATCACACCAGTGAATTAGCACAATGAGTTGTCACAGCAAATCTTTGTAATCACACCAGTGAATTAGCACAATGAGTTGTCACACCAGTGAATTAGCACAATGAGTTGTGTCACAGCAAATCTGTGTGTCACGCCAGTGAATTAGCACAATGAGTTGTGTCACAGCAAATCTGTGTGTCACGCCAGTGAATTAGCACAATGAGTTGTCACAGCAAATCTTTGTGTCACACCAGTGAATTAGCACAATGAGTTGTCACAGCAAATCTTTGTGCGTCACTTAGTTAATACACTACTGAAGGTAATATTCATTAGTTTAAATATTATTCAGTGTGAAGCAGGCATGGTAATTTTTGTTATCATATAAATTGCAGAGTTTAACTTTGTTTTCTTTTACTTGGCAGATTATTAGGAGATATGAAAGTCAAAGCTTGTGAAGGCAAGATAACATTACCAGTGTACTTGAACCACACAAGATCTGAATTGCTGTTTACTGTTGACTTAGCACCAGCTACAGATGTTAAAGCTGATACATTCTGTGAACGTGGTGTTGCCTTGCTTTGCTCTGGAGCTTTCCAGTAGAAATCAATATCATTCTGAAAAATTGCATTTTAAAATTTTTAGGAAATTGAATCAAGCAGATAATGTGTAGAAATTAAATTTATTAATATTTGATATGCATGCTTTCATGATAATCAAACTTATAGATTTATATGGCAGTATATTAAAAGATTGCATCATCGTATCATAAAAATTGTGTTTAATCACATTAAGAATATATCATGTGCTTTGACTAAACAGTTTGTTACAGTAGTAATGGTGACCAGTTAAAAAATGTTCTTCAAATAATTGTATAATGTGTTTTAAATTTAGATTAAATTGTATTGAAGGATTCTGAACAGTAAAAACATATTTTCTTGCAATGTCGCTCCTCCATAAAATATCAAACGCTGTGATTCATTAGATTTTGCATTAGTAATAAAATATAGAACCCCAAGAATGCAATGTACTTGTATGTGCTTATCAGTGTTTAATGATTGTTCAATTTTGCCTTCATTTGTGTTCTATATTTCACTGAAAGTCTTCATTGAGTAACGTGGCATCATTGGTGAGGTATTCATGTCAGATCCTGAACAGATATTTTGAGTGCAGGTCAAATTGCATCATTTGTTGAGGACTTTCAATAAAATATCAATGTATTTGTTTTTTGGTCTAGCTCGGTAGAATAAAATTAGTTGTATGCAAAAAGAGCGTTCTTTATATCTTGTCCTACTCTAGAGCATGGAACAAATGTATTGTTCAGATGAAAAGAAAGGGAAAGAGGGAAGGTGTGGTATTGTGCTCTGTGGGAAGGAAGGTGGTGTATGTGGGTGCAATGTAATGTATATGGGGAGGAAGGAAGGAAGGTGGTGTAGGTGGATGTAATGTAATGCATATGGGGAGGAAGGTGGTGCAGGTGGGTGCAATGTAATGTATATGGGGAGGAAGGAAGGTGGTGTAGGTGGGTGCAATGTAATACATATGGGAAGGAAGGAAGGAGGTGGATGTAATGTAATGCATATGGGGAGGAAGGAAGGTGGTGTATGTGGGTGTAATGTATATGGGGAGGAAGGAAGGTGGTGTAGGTGGGTGTAATGTATATGGGGGAGGAAGGAAGGTGGTTTAGGTGGGTGCAATGTAATGCATATGGGGAGGAAGGAAGGTGGTTTAGGTGGGTGCAATGCATATGGGAAGGAAGGTGGTGTAGGTGGGTGTAATGTAATGTATATGGGGAGGAAGGAAGGTGGTGTAGGTGGATGTAATGTAATGCATATGGGGAGGAAGGAAGGTGGTGTATGTGGGTGTAATGTATATGGGAAGGAAGGTGGTGTAGGTGGGTG